AGCCCCCCAGAAACCCCCCTACTCTTGACTTTAACGAACGAAACTACAAAATCGCCATTCTAGTGACTAGATTAGATCAAGAGGATTTTTGAAGTTCCGTTAGTTAAAGTAAAGTCCACGATCCCTTTGTTTACATCCAGAACAGGGATGCCAGACAAGACAGAAACAACAGAGTGAAGACCAGTTTGGCAAAAATCTGGGAAACAGTACACGAAACTGCGATTGTGAAAGGGTCGTAGGGTCAGGCCTAAGGGGACATTAAAATAATTAAATATAATCTTAAATCTTACACTTGGGGAGGGGGGGGGAGGGGTACAACTAAACTCTTGCGTTTGTGCTGAGATGCGAATCTTATCAGCAACCGATAATGTCAGAATTTAAACTGTCCAGGAAGGATTGCAAGGGAGCCAGAAAAAAGTTTTGACTTAAATATTTTCCATTGTGGACAGGGGAATTTTATAAGTGCTTTCATCTCACAATAAAACCTACCAGTTAAAAACAAAAATGATGGAATGTCACCTTTGTTTTCTCCTTACATCCCACCAAGTGATGTAATAAGCTTAATTGGCCAATGCCACCCCTCCCTTGTATGCAACAATAAGTCGAGGAACTCTTCTTTGGGCAGGCCATATAATCAAGGCAGCAGGTAGTGGTGAAATTAATTTCCCACCTCTGGCCACCCAGGGCAGTTTCTGTGCTGGAGTGCCACTGGAGTACTTTCACATTGCAGTGATGAAATTTCACACTCGCACCACATCTCAGTGCTCACATAAACGAGGTAACAGCTCCCCCCACTGCTTGGCGGTATGATGTAAATATTAGAGCCAGTGGAACCAAACTTGGGAGTTTAGTTCCAAATTAGGTTTGAGAGGGCAAAGCATTTTCTGTGGTAGGTCAAAACCCTTTGAAGGGTTTAAAACGTGATTCCATCAAAGACAGGTGAAGTATAGAGGAATTTATCGGGGGTGGAGGTAGTGGAAAGATTTTGTTATGATGACAGTTTCTGCCTTAGGCAGGTTTTCATTACGGCAGGTTTGTGTGTATTATATATATATATATATATATATATATATACAATAATCGGTTCTTCCAACTCTATCAGCAGGTCATTAAAATTCCTTAACTGTCTTTAAGCTATGCATGTAGAAAAGGGACGGAAATATAATAAACTCACTGTGACTCATAAAAGAAATAAAAAATGCTCTTTTTCTTTCACTTTACATCCCATGTTGCATGAAATATGTGCAAATTATTAACTTATCAATGTGGGTTGAGGAAGATTTGATGTCAGCACACAGAAAGGAGCTCGGGTTGCATTTTGATGAAGGCTGTGGGGATTTTATTATTTATTTTCCTTATAGATAAAATTTTGTTTAAAAAATTTCTTCAGTTTTGCATGTCATGCTAATTATTAGTTTGCTTTGCTCCAGTTTTCTTTTTCCAATCTTTCTTTAAAATTATTTTTCCTCCTCCTCCTCATCCTCATCCTCCTCCTTTTCCTCTTTTTTTTTCTTATCTTTTATTATTTTAACTTCTCTCTTCATTGCCCAGCCATAAGGTAAGGGGAGTGAACTGAAGTTTTATTCATTTCCATTCTTATAATTTTTAGCTCCACGTTTTTGCGACATGTTGATCTTATCTTCCACGTATAACAAATCTTGTTCGTTTTTTTTTTCTTTTTGCATTTAGGAGCCACCCTGAGCCGCCCTGTGCTTCAGAGACGTAGAGCGAGCCTGTAATTTGAATTTAAAGCCATTATTTGTCAGTCTCTTGGTGAAAAGTGGAAAAAATGCGGACCATACGTTGTGACCGATTGCTACACCTCAAGTCCCTGCTGATTATTGGAGTCTTCTCCCTACTGCTCACATTCCTTATTTGTGAGTTGGGTTTTTTTCTCTGCACTCTTATTTGCTGGAGTAGGCCTACTTATTGTTCTTGTACGTACAGAGTTATTCTAACTTTTAACTTGACAAACCTTCTTTTCATCCTTTGCTTTTTAAGGGCAGTGTTATGATATTTTTAAAAGAAGAAATTGTAAAGGTAATGCTTCTTCTTCCTTTTTCTTATTTCCCAGCTTTTGTTCTCCTTTTCTTTCGTGTGTTACATTGCTGGTTGTTAAAGGGATTCAGTTAAGCCTCTTCATCCTGCAGTGAGACTAATTTTTATTTTTGACGTAGTTGGTTTTCCCCCAAAGAACAGTGACCATCCCTGTTCCGGCAGCTTTATGACATGTTGTGTTCCAAGTTCGAGACAACTAGAAAGAATAGTAGAACAAAGGGAGATTGTGTTCTGAGTTGGTGGAGGAACATTTAAAGGACTTCAGACTTTTTAACAAAACTAGTTACAGTAAAACCCTGATAGCTTGAACTTCACAGGACAAGAAGAGAATTTCTTTTTATGAAGCAAATTTCATGTTTAGGCACATTGCAGTGCTTAGAGTAAAGAAGGCAAAAAAATGTTGACAGATTTTTAAAAAACTTGACCATACTTCTTTTTTTTAAATTCTGGAAAATTGTATAGGTTCATCAACCCTCTGCAACTCTGTCAGTTTATTTGAAAGTAGGGGCCTCCAAATTTAATATCCATCACTGATAAAAGAGAAGCAAATGAGAACATTTGTGAAAAATGCCTTTCCACAGGACACAGCATTACACTGAGCTAAGACTTGAACCCCGGAACTTGCAATCTCATATAGATTCAAGTCCTGAAGCCTAACTGCAAGCACAAGACCAAAAGTACTGACACTTCCTTTAAAAATAATTCTGTATTTCTACAGTGACATACAGCAGTTCGGACATGCATCATTCAAATGAAGATGCCTTTTCACATGGAGAGCCAGGCGTCTTCAGAATGTCTCAGAAAAAGGTCATAAAGGAGAAGGTCAAGGGAAAAAAGTCCAAGGTTGTGGATGAGGAGGAAACTCCAGTCTTTCACAAGGGTAGGTTATGATGTGTTGTCTGTTCTTAACATGTTACTGAAAGTGAAGGACATTTTTGTTAATGATTTCGAGTCCATACTGTAAAGACCACCTTTCTTTGGTGTTGACTGCACTCTATAGAGCTGATATTTTTAGCTTCATGTCTTCATGTTGCATATGGTTTGATTGGGGGGTTTTTCCATGCTGTTTTGTTTCTCTATTTTCACTTTGTTCAGTTTTGGGGTGTTTGGGGTTGTTTTTTGTTTTTGTTTATTGTTTTGTTTTTGTTTGTTTGTTTTTGTGGGGGG